AAATTCTACACCCAGCAATGTTGGCATCATGCGAATGCTGCTGAAGACTTTCACAGCCACCATAAATATTGGTACTGATGTTAGTCAGTATGTTCCCCTCTCTTTCCACAAGTAGCAAATCTGGATGCAATGAAGTGAAGAGTTCTGGCTCCATGGCACGCTCCCTTTCTTTCTTCAGCGCCACTGGTGTTCCCTGGGGATTGGGCCTTGTACTTGGGCAGAGGCTCCGTGGTTGAGCAGGTGTACAGTAAACACTAACCCCATCAACAATAACTTTCCTTTCTTCACACACCATTCAATGAAAACCCTCCAGAGAGGAAGGGGGCTTGTGACATAGCAGATGGTCATTATGTAGGGCTCTGCAGCCATGAAGACCAGCCTGCAGTGCAGTCACAGGTCTTTCCTACAGGTGGCCCTGGTGGCCAGCACATTTCAAAAGATCCTTGGTTTTCAGGGGGAGGTAAAGATGGCCCTTTGAAGGGAAGTCAGGAGAGAATGCCATCGGCCTGATTTTTCATTGCCCTATGGCATGCCTGTACCATTCCAGCAACGAAGAGAGGTGGTAAAGGGAGTGGATCCGTCCATCAGAGAATAAGCCTAACCCAGGAACTAGCTGGCTCTTCATTGTGCCCCAGCAGCATCCCTAATGTACAGGGCATGCCAAGGGTAAGTGTGTGGCCAGAGCACTGTGTCTTCTGGAATGACCACAGAGGCCACAGGCAGCCGAGAATTGTAGTGCTGCCTTGAGGTTGCTCTTACACTAGGACAGGCCCGAATATGGGGAGGCACAAGGGTGGCATAAAGGTACCTTGTACTGAGCATAGCTTTGCTGGAATGGAGAACTGGGGACTGAACGTATAAACTCAGAATACACTCATACCCATTTTGGGTGTGATTCAACCAACAGTGAAGATATTCAGTAGCCCAACACAGAACAAGTTGTTTTTATTTTAAGTAGGCAAGTTACAGTGACACTTTCTTTACATGGTTAAAAAAAAAATCACATTCACAGCAGAGCTCATAAGGAAAGTTCCCCACTAATTCAGCTATGAAAAATATGTCTGGTTTGCACACACTGGAAATCTTCATCCATCCCTGGCTCTCTCCACATCAAATCCAGTGCTTAGTAAAACTGGTTGTTGTTGTTGATTTCTACTTTGGAAAGATGTGGGAAGACCCACATTAAAAACAACCAACCCTCAGTTCTGACTGAAAAATCATATATAGTTGGATACATACACCCCATTGTACTTTTTAGAGTGATCACACATAAGAGGATTTTTAAAAACCCAAACCCTCTACTATATAAAATGCAACTTCACTTGCAGATTGACTGCTGCGATTTACATCAGTTCCAATAACCTTAGCTTTCTGGTACAACCAGCAGCAGCAGAGAGCCTTCTCATGTGTATTAACTGGAATGTAAGATACACTTGGTAGTAATACGCAAGCCAACGAGCATACAAAGAAGGAAATAACGTCATGAATTGGCAAAGCAGCAACTACATTCACAAGTTTAAACAAGATTCAGTTACTGAAAATCTACAACTTAAGACCAAACCACAAATTTTCAGCTGAAATGTTATTTCAACCTTTACATAAGGATGTGAAAATGGAAATCCATCAAAAGGTCCAGATAGCTAAATGGCTCTGAAAACAAATGCCTCAGGAAAATATGAGGTATTAAATAGAATGACAAATCTTGGCGCTTGTTATAAATGCAGAGTTCAGAAACCCCTTATCTTCAAAGTTATCCAGCAAAGAAGAAGGAATATCTGGGGATGTGTTAGGGATGAAGCCAGAACATCTGCCATGGCAGGCATGCCATTAGGCAGCTTGAGGGACACGTAAAAGGGGTGATCTCAAGAATCCCTCCGTCATGGAACAGTACTTAGCGAAGGAAAATGTATATCACTGAACAACACAGAGGACATGCAATGAACAGTCCAGGACAGGCAGGGATGTCAGGGCCTTGTTTGTGCCCTAAGCGACCTTTGACAGACGGGAAGGATTCAGATTCAGAAGACACACTACCTGAATACCTAGAACCTTTTAGGTTCTTAACAATTGATTCATATGTGAGAACCATAGGAGGCTGTGTAGTAGTGTGGTCCAGTGATTAGGGCATTAGCCTAGAAATCAGGAGACCCAAGTTCAATTCACTGCTCCACCACAGACTCTCTGTGTGACCTTGGGAAAGTCACTTACACCCAAGTTTTTAAAAAGATACTTGGGTACTGCTCTGTATTACAAGACCTAAGTTATCTAGGCACTGTACAAACAGATATAGGCGATAGTCTGTCCTAAATAATTTAGGGTCTGAAATTTTCCATTTAGGAGTGGATGAATCAAGGCACAGACATTATATGGCCTTGGGCAAATCAGTGTCAGAGCCATATTAGAATTTGCTAGCTCTCATTCCTATCTTCAGCACCACTAGACACTCTCTCTTTCTTTAGCATGTTAGTTTCCCTAATGGACAGGGGGGAAATAATTAATATGCTGGGTTCTGTCCAGCATTCTTATGGACCCAGATAAGAAACTAACCCACAGTATTTCAGCCTAGTTTGAAATTTTAGTAAGTATTCTATTAAGGTAATTTACCTTAGTAACTAAAGATCTAATCCAGTACCCACGGAAGTCAGCAGAAGCCTTTTCATTGACTTTAATTGGAGTTGAGTCACCCCCTATGTACGTTTTTCTGCGTTTGCTTTTAACTTTTGGCTGATGCTCATTTGGCTGAAGTTTATATTTTTTTTTAATTCTTTCCCATATTTACAAAGAGCTAGTCACTAGTGTAGAACATTGTCACAGGATAACAGTCTCCAGCTGCTAGCTAAATGCCAAAGCCAGTACTAAGCAGTGACACAAAGCAAACAAAAAGTAAAACAAGATGTTTATTTGAAAAGCTGAAAATATCTCATTTCGATCAGTATTCCAGGGTAATGATATGGTAATAATAATTTTAATTATTCTAAAGTGAGGCCCAAGTCCTGAAAGCACTTTATTTGTGAGCCTGAAATTAAGCACATGTATAAATGCTTTCAGGAACTTGGCCTAAGTGAATAAAGTGCAACAGGCAGTTGCAAGTTGGTACAATGGAGTCACATCAATTTATTCCATGCATATTGGCCACCAGCAAGGTTTACATAAGGCTAGAAGTGAAAATAATGCCTGAACTTTGAAAATCACACTCTTAACTGACTCAAATATTATTCTAAAGAAGTCAGTCTTTAAGGTTCAGTCAGACAGCTGGTAATGCAACTGTGTTTAATTTATCTTAACTAATTGATATTACTAGACAACCAGGTAGCATTCTTTGGATAACTACTGTTGTTTTCTAGCTTTTAGTTATTTAAAATTATTCCTGGCATTATGTGAAGGGTGGCTTTACTGATCACTAGAGACACTGGGTCCAATTATCCTCTCTCTTGCACTTTGTGAAGTTATTTACATCTGTGCCAACAGCAGTATTATATACCCACTGTGCACAGGTGTAAATGACAACAGAAGGTGCAAGGCCTTGGGGATAGAGGCTCCTAATCTTTTGCTTTGACAAAGTTCTTTGCTAGTCAACCGATATTTTCCTATTAAAATATTAATAGCCAGATTGTGGCCCATCGAATGCTTATGCACATGTAAGAAGGAACAGGTCTCCCTATTATCCCCTGCATCAGTGAGAGTAGCCAGCACAGAAGGAATAACAACCTCCACAAGACTGCTATTTCCCCACTGGTGCAGGTGGGTGAGGAGTGGGCAGAACTTTGGCTCTGTCCCCAGCTATGCACTGGCCAAAGCAGTTGCAGTTGTGTGCTGATTAATCTGCACCAGGTATTGGGCTGGCACCATCACTCTTCACCTGAGCAAGAGGAAGTCCTCATCTGCTTCCTGGTCTGCTCTTGGGACAATGCAAAAATGTGCCATCAGAGTATTTCTTGAAGGAACTTTAGCCCCTAGCAACCTGTCCACATCATATAGCAACATTAAAGCCTACTTCTAGAAATAAGAACATATAAGGTTAAGAGAGGGGAAGAATCACAGGCGTGGAAATAAGGAAATTGAGGAGAGAGGAAGGTCATCTCATTTACTTTTATAGTTTTGAGACGTGTTCTGATGCTATAAACCAGTAGTTTTCTGTGACTACCTAGAAAAAATGGACTACAACTGAGTCAAATTGTTGATTAAGAAGAGCAGAGAACTACACAGAAATTAAATAATCACAAAGATCTGAGACCCAAAAGTCTACCAAGAAGTTATTGGATAGATTAGACGTTCACTATCCCCTCCCCAAAAAGTCACTTTGTCATTTAAACAAAGTTTGCTCTACATAGCAATTATTGTTAAAATCACAGTGTACGCTTCTTTCAGACGTCTGACACAAACAGATATAGTTTGACCACTGAACGTATGTTCCAGAATAGAAAACCGTAACAAGCTCTCACGTACCCAGCCACATAAAACGCATGATATGGAGCAGTTTCCTTGTGAAACCCTTTAACACTTTTGCTACTTTTCATAAATCACTTGATTAGGCAAGAGAATTGGCTCTAGTGAAAGATCTATAAAACTGTAAAGGTCTGAGCCTATCCTTTGAACAAGTTTCATTATCAAAGACAAAAGCATAACATATGTCAAATCTGTTTGCAATGTTCTCCTCTTCTAAAAATCCCCTTGGTCCTCTCTTTAAATGTTAAAAGCCTCAAGTAAGTTCAAATGAAAATCACCACTGAGCTACAGTACTTAGTGGTCTGTTACAATAGTTAAAATAGAACGTGCCTGTTCTGACTGAACTTGCTCCCAATCTACCCGTAAAAGAAGCTATTGTTGCAACACAGCTACCCCTACGTGAAGGAACACCCAGTTAATTTGAATTCATAGTTATCACAGCACATGAGATGCAAGTTTTAAGGACAAAGTTCAACACATTTTAAAAATATATACACTATACGAAAATTAAGTAAAAGAATTATGTTATTAGGTATAATAGCAAAGCAGCTTACCAGCCCATCACAGTTGCTTATAGCAACTGAAGCGTTAGGCAAATCAGTGATATCCCCAACATATAGGCAATTCCCATGGAGTGGTTCAATATGAGTCACATTAGAATCCTCTTGCCATTCAATTGTTGCTCCAGGGGCAACCAGCCTAGAGTTCAGTCTCAGCCTGAAGTGAAACTCTCTTCCAAAAACAGTGACATTATAAAATATTTGCTCATTTGAAGCTTCATGTTGCAAATCCCCAGCATCTCTTCGGAAGCGCCCCCTTGGAGGTCCAGACACCAGATTAGATAGGAACCTGCCCTCTGAATCTGTGCTGATTGGAACGACAAGTCTGTATTCCTCTATATTCCTCAAAATAGGATCTTTAAAGATAAAAAAAAAGTATTAAAACTAAAAATTGGTTTAGAATTACTAGTCCATGATCCATTACCCCATCAGACAATTACATAAGGGAGATGGCCACTGCATTCTCCACAGCCACTTCATTCATGAGTGTGGCGAAACATACTGTGCAGAGGTCATTTTTCCTAACATAGAGCAAAGTGCAATTATAAGAGAATGTAAGACAGCAAAGTTCTCCTACAAAATAAGCACCCTGCATCTCCTTTCCAGATGTTTTATGAACTGAAGTCAGTTGAGACAGCTGAGCTATTCAGACTGTTGCCATTAATCACCTAGGACGTTGAATTTCTGGGGACTGTTGGCACAATCCTTGGGAAGGCTTCAGTGTCTATTAAACGGACCTCTGACCAGAGCTAAACACAGAGGTTAGAGGAACGAAATGTTTATAATATCAGCATTTGCAGGTCATAAATTTAAAAGGAAAATAAGCTTCCCCCCAAAAAAAAACAACTGTGGGAGAAGCTGATCAAATCCTAAACAAGCTGAAAGCGTGTGATGAGCAGACACAATATACAGCTGGTAACTCGGGCTGGGACCAGCACGAGTGTCTCGGCGACTTTTAGAGCTTTTAAATTCATATTGTTTGAAGAAAAAAAGCTGCTACCGTGTGTTTTATTCTATACATGCAATTCCAGGAACTGACACACTCAACTCTGATCTGTCAGATGTGCTACATTGAAACCAGAGTTCATTCGAGGTTCCCACTTCCCACCCCGTCTCTAACTACACTCTCTCTAGCGCGATCTGGGATTTAAACCGCTCTCCCCCAGCCTCCTTTCTTTCCAGAGGCTTATCCTCCCACTGGGGCTGCCAGAGGGTGGCTATGGGTCTGCAGAGATGCCAGAAATCCCTTCCCCCCTGAGGAGGCAGCTCCATCTGCCCCTGTTCTGCTGCAGCCAGAAGAGGTTAACGGAGCACAGGGAGCAACTGCAAGTCTCGCAAAAAGTGTTAGCAGAAGAAGTTGAAGGGGAGTTGAAAGCCCCAGGGCGAGCTAGCTGGGACTTCAGAGGGGGAGGCTGCAGGGAAGCGGGGGCTAAGCCAAGTGAATGGCAGCCGGGGGTGGGGGCTCAGGGATGGAGCCACCTCCCCCCCAGGACCTACCTCTCTCCCTGGAGCTCTGCAGGGCGCTCGCGGGCAGGAAGAGCGCACAGCAGAGCAGCAGACAGGCGATCGCCGCGGGAGGATCCATTGCAGCTGAACCGCAGACCGAGCCCAACACTCGGAGCCAGCGTTAAAGTTCCCCGCCGCTACCCAAAACCATCTGAGGGCAGCCCGGCGCCGCCCGGTCCTCCGCACCGCCGCCCGGAACGCGGCGGGGACGCCCCAGCCCCGCTCCGGTCCCCTGGTGCATGCACCCAGCAGCAGCGGCGGCCGCTCTGCGGGCTCGCAGCGAAGCAGAGACACCAGGAGGCGGCTGGAGCGCAGCACCAGAGAACACAGGGCGTGCGGGAGTGAAGTCAGGCTGATTGACAGACGCGCTGCCACCCAGCGCAGCCCGGCTCCGCAGCTAGCCCTGGCAGCAGTCCCGGGGCTCCCCTCCCTCCTGGAGCCAACTCTGGCTGCGGGACACCTCCCCACCCACCGCTTCGACAGCCACGTTTCTTTGCCCTTGACTCTTCGCGAGCAGCAGCCCACAGAGTAGTGAGCGCCACGCTCCCTCCAGGTCCTAATGCGCTCAAGTTTCTGTCCCAAGACGCCCCGCTCGGACCCTCCTTCTGCGCCAAGCTCTTGTTAGTGGAGTCCTGACATTATGCTAGACCTTGTGCAGCAAGAGGAGGGGCGCGCACCCTCCTCCTCCCAAGGGGTTTACATCACTCACGGATCTAAAGACGTGCAGCAGACCCCTACACCTAGCACATTCGGGGGAAGTTGGGCCCACATCTCAATTTGGCGAGTCAGGCCGCTCTTTGGAGAAGCCAAACTTGACCTCCCCTTCAGGGAAGCTTAACCTTCTTTGGGCCTCAACTTTGCCGCACAAGTCAGCTCCCATCTCAATAAAATGCATCTCAAACACTTTATAAATTGAAGGACACGTCTAATTTCTGGCCAAGTAGTCTAATTAGCTGCTACATCCGCTAGAAAATCTCAGTATTATTACATAAATCTAAACACTCATTTAAATACACATCCACACCCCTCTCCCCAACACATTTGCCTCCCCATTTGCAGTTTATCAGCAACAAGTAGAGTTGTGCAAAATGTTTGCATCAAAAACGGAGAACAAGCCAGTCAACCAAGGTTAGTCTAATGGTTTGTGACTCTGTCATGCAGACCCGATCCCACCTGAGAGCAACCCTGGAACTAATCCATGGATTTACATGAAAAACAAGCAACTTTTCCATGCAAAGCCAGGTGAAATTCAGGTGTTTTGACTTGAGTCTCAGATTCATTTAGAACTGCAAAGATCAGAACTGAAGAAAATAATGACATGGCCTAATGCAAATCAAAATCAGAGTTTCACCTGGATCTAATACATTTGGAGCAGACCAAGAAATTTAGATTGTAAATTATTTGGTTCAAGGACAGTCAGGAGAGCATCTAGCAGAATGGAGGCCTGATCTTGCAAGGAGTCTCTGGGTGCTATTGTAATGCAAACAACAATTAATTATTAACTGTTTTTTTTTATGTAAAGAAAATAAGTTACATTTTTTGCCATAAAAATTTTTCCACATAGATACAGACAGCCTTAGGGCCCAATGTTTACATGTGACTTTAATGTAGCTGTTGAATAAAGACAAAATGTTTACTTTTTCAGGATTATTTGCCATTTTCATCAGTTTACTGGCCAATTTTGCAGTATCCTAGAATGCTTTGCCTCTTTGTTGTCACTGGTTTGGGGTTTCACTCATAGTAGATTGATTCATAGGTGTATTTTCATGTTTTCCATCCCAAGGATTCAGAGTAACAGCCGTGTTAGTCTGTATTCGCAAAAAGAAAAGGAGTACTTGTTGGCACCTTAGAGACTAACCAATTTATTTGAGCATAAGCTTTCGTGAGCTACAGCTCTCTTCATCGGATGCATACTATGGAAAGTGTAGAAGATCTTCTTATATACACACAAAGCATGAAAAAATACCTCGTCCCACCCCACTCTCCTGCTGGTAATGGCTCATCTAAAGTGACCACTCTCCTTACAATGTGTATGATAATCAAGGTGGGCCATTTCCAACACCTGTTTGCATCTGAAGGTTTCCTGGAGCAAGGTTTCACAGGGGGGGAAATTGCATGGCAGAGCACCAGCTATCCCTGTTTATTGCTACTCCTGCATGATTAAGGGTGTAGGACCAAGCCCCAAAGGTAGAAATACTGGAGTAGAATAAGACTGTAAAAAAAATCTGGTACTGGTCAGTGTGGGAGAGAGAGTACAGGAAAAGATGGACCTCACTTCTGATCCAGTCTGGCAATGTCTATATCAGTGGTTCTCAAACTTTTGTACTAGTGACCCCTTTCACACAGCAAGCCTCTGAGTGCAACTCCTGCCCCCTTATACATTAAAAATAAACGCTATTATAAATGATGGAAGTGAAGTAGGGTTTGGGGGTGGAGGCTGACAGCTCGTGACCCCCCACATAATAACCTTGCAACCCCCTCAGGGGTCATAAGCCCCAGTTTGAGAACCCCGCTCCATATCCCTATGTTCCCCCCCCCTCTACTTTTGGGTAGTCTGATCTTTAAAGCTGGTAAAAAGAGAAGGGGGTTTTGACAGATATCTATAAGAGCAGAACCACTTATAAACTGTACATATCAATCTTCTCTTTGGTGTTTTTCTTGGATGCCCTTTTCTTTGGGGGAGGCTTTTGCAATAGATTTCCCTGTTTGTTTGTGAGCTAGTATTCAGCAGCTTCTCTTACTGAAAATCCTATATATGCTCATCAGTACAGCTCCGTGGCTAGTAAAGCTCCAGCTTTATTTTTATTGGGCTTGTATTTTAAACTGATATGGCTCCTTTAGATTCCATGGATCCAGTCTTGCTCTGACTTAACTCAGCAGGTGTTCTGCCATTGCCTTTGAGGGGAGCATGAACAGGCCAAATGTTTATTACTAAAGGTCTCACGTGCATGTGCCTCAGAGAGAGAGAATACAGTGACAACAGTTGCTGTGGATATACAACACATGGACTGGCCAACAAGAGGGTTGTGTTAATTGAGATGGAATCTAATTGGAAGAGTTGGAGGTTAGCAAATCTGCTTAATATGGATAACAGCTGCATTGAAGGGTGATGACATAAGCAAGGAAGATAGAGAAACTTGTGGAAGGTTTATTGCTATGGAGAAAATGAGTTTCACATGCAGTTGTTATTGTCTTACCACAGCCAAACAAGATCAAGGGAAATCCACTGGTTCCTGGTACCTCCAGAACTGCTTTGCCTATAACCTTCTCAGTAACCCTCCCTTAGGAAAAGGGAGAACAGAAACAAGTCAATAGTTGGTAAGATTGTCAGGTCTGGTCTACACTACTGAGTTAGGTTGATACAAGGCAGCTTACATCAACCTAAGTATGGAAGCGTCTACACTTAAATTTTGCTCCCACTGACGTAACTGCCCAGCTACACCAATTTAATAACTCCACCTCCTCAAGCAGCGTAGAGTCAAAGTCTATGTAGCTAGGTCAACGCAGTGTCAGCACAGACACTGTGTTGCTTTTGTCAAGTGTTACTGGCTTTCAGGAGCCTTCCCACAATGCCCCATGCTGACAGTACAGTTGATACAAGCACTCCTGGTGAGGATACACATCACCGGCACAAGGAGCAAAGTGTAGACATGCACAGGCGATGTAACTACTGCAGCGGCTGTTTGCCGGCAAAAGGTAGATTGACTTAATTTTGTAGTGTAGACATGGCCTCAGCATCAAGTGACGAGGCCAGAGCTTTAGCTGCTATAAATCATCATAGTTCCACTGAAGTTAATGGGTGAAATCTTGGTCCTGTTGTAGTCAATGGGAGTGGCCCCAAACTCGCCCAACACCAGAGCTTCAATGACTGACACGAGCTGAAATGCAAGATGTTGTTGCACTTGTTCCATTAAGATTCTGTTCTGACACAACAATAGCAGGTAGCTCTGTCCAAATTGATGTGATATCCTCCACTTACTATTTCCACCTCTGACGTGAAGCCTTGCAGCAAGAAGCACTTGACTGAGTAATCCAGTGTAGGAAGTCCAGATTAACCAGACCACCAACCACTAACAGCTCCGCTGTGTCTAATGAAGGTAGAGGCTGCTTCCTTTGTGGCTAGGCTCCAGCATAAAACCTTTTTTAAAAATTTATGACAGAATTGGCCAAGTTCAGCCTGAGACTTGCACCCCTTGAGCTTTACCTCTATTCAAAATCTAGGCTTAATTTTTCATTAAATGAAATCCTTAAGTCTTTGTTCAGAAAAGCTACCATCAATTTCAGTTGGAGTAAAGGCCCCAATATTCAGCCTATTCAAGCTCACACCTCTAAGAGTCCTGGTAATACTAATTTTTCATAGGAGTGGAAGGAGGTGGTCGGGATACCCTGACTATGCTCTGGTGACTGGTCTGAGGGTGCAGGGCACTATTTCTTTCTTGTAGTACATTTTACTTAGCTCAGTGAAATGCAAGTGTCTTTAATTTATGGCATTAGGTGCTGCTTTGAGAGAATGTTTTAAAATATAAATATATTATAGAGCATTCTGCAATTAGAAGCCCTGTTCCTGAGAGTTCAAAGACCTAATTTGTTATAGAGGAGAATCCTTTCAACAACGTAAGAAACTGATGATGGAGGTGGGGGTGATGTCTGTCAGTCATTATATGGCATTTGTTTGCCAGAAGCTGGGAATGGGCGACAGGGGATGGGATTCCCTCTGGGGCACCTGGCATTGGCCACTTTTAGAAGACAGGATACTGGGCTAGATGGACCTTTGGTCTGACCCAGTATTGCCATTCTTATGTTCTATACCTTCTCCAAGGGGCATTAGTCCATCAGTTTTTAAGTAGAATTCCCCACAATGAAATTCCTAGGGGGAGTTCTGCTTAAAATCTAATGGTATAACATGGTCTCTAGTTCTTACTCCAAAGATTCTCCTGTGAGGGTGGGGAGAAACTTTATTTCTGACCCTGTTACTGGTGACTTTAGTACTTTTATGTGAAAGGACTGTATATCAGCTGCTTGTGGTTTTCATGCAGATCATGGTTTTCTGCTTTCACTCCTAGCCATATGTATACATACCAGTAATGTAACATTATAAATCTTAATTAAAAGGAAGAAAATTTAAAGTTCTGTGCCAGTTCATTTCCTCCACGCTTGAAATTTCCAGGCCCTCTATTGTTTGAACCCTTTTTATCCCTGATACGTGGCAGTATTATACACTACCTAACGTATTTAAAACGTATTTTGCAGCACTGCATGCCAAAAAGCAGCAGCTAACACTGAAACATCCCTGTCCTCCTCTCCCCCTCTCCCCTCCCACTAGCCGGAGTTCAGTGACAAAAGGAAACATAACTCAAAGCAGGGCCTGATGCAGAAATTAGTACATCAGTCTGAATGTTCAAGCTCTTTTTCTGATAGGCTCATTTCCACTCATTTCTAAGATAAGGTGACAGCAGGACTAACCAT